CCCCCCGCCCCCCCGGCCCCCCCCCCCCCGCCCCCACACCACCCACACCCACCCCCGCACCCACACCCACCCACCCACACCCACATACCCCACCCACACCCACACCCTTTTTTTAATACAACGTATTAATTAACTGAAAATTGTTAAACAAAGCACACCAATTCAATCAGTCTCATTCATTAAGTATATGATCAATTTTGCTTCGAATTGAAACACCACGATTTTACTTTTCATTCAACGTGTAACCACATGGATATGTTCTCTTTCGAGTATCATGTCATGATGCGAAATTACACTTGAGCTTTTCGATTTTTACTGTTGGTATTTCGTCTGGAGAGTTTAGCTTAACATTTTAACTTTTCCCTCCATGTCAAATTGTAATTAGTAGAAAAAAAATAAATGGTGTGCAGCATTCGAGCAAGCTTTTTTAGGGGATTTGTCAACAAAGACAAGGTGTTTGTATTGCATTAGAGACTGCTTTACTAGACACGACACATGATTGTGTAAAAAGAGAACGAAGCAAAAAACTTGCCAGATTGCGTCTATCGTCTATGCATCTATAGTCCGTACATCAGGTGAATGCAGCCATATATTTTTTACATAGGTGTCTTTTTTCTTTCGTCTTCAAGTGATGCGTGTACATCTATGTGATGCACATCATTATGCATATATCTTGATTAGGAATTGACAGAAAAAAAATGGGAAAGATAATAATCACACATGTTAAAAAAATGTACAGCATATCGATCAAAGGCTCCCATATGATCATTCAGTGAACGGATAATGAGAAGGCAAAAAATAAATGATTATGCATCGATTTTATCTTTATGTGAGTACTAGACAGGCAAAAATATCTGGAGAGTCGCTTTTTTTTCTATATCATTGTGCAAACAAATCATCAAATTTTGAGTTTTTCTTAAACAAAGCACAGTTGAAATTCCTATATGAGTTTCTTTCTCACATTTTTCAGTTTACTCTCCATTTGAAAATGGCTCGTATCCACAAATTCAGATGCTCTTCTCTTTAAGTTACTGCAATTATTTATAGAAAAGCAGTTCATTTTCTTTTGTTCATGGAAAAAATTTATTCAATCAGCATGCACGAACTTCTAGGATGATTAAGATTTTTTAATAAGAAGAAAGATTAATACTAAATAATACCAATAAAAGTTAACGCTTGAAAAAAAGATTCTTATTAAATAACTTTGAAAGTACTAGCTACAGTTTTTAAGCGAAAAATAGAGAGAAAGAAAAGTCACTTGAAACAGTCCGGCATCTGCAAGAGAGCCCACTTTTTTGCATTGAATTCAGCTTCCTGGTGGTAGAGTTGTTCAATTTGTTCGACCATCTCTTTCTTTACGTCGATTCCCGTTCCTAACTCGTAAATTTTTGCTCTTTCCTTTTCGTGCAGTTGTCCATCGGCCGCGGCAGCCTTGAATGCATTGAAGATGAGAGAACGTGTTGCCTTATATGTACCTTCTGCCTTGCCTTCTCGCACCCTCGTCAACAGTTCTTCCATGGTCTCTGATGTTGGATCGTAAGCAGCAATCTCGTCAAGATTGGGTGCTCCATGAGCCGCTGCATTACCTAAGATCCATTCCTTTTCCGCTGGAGCTATTTCACCATCAGCAGCGATGATTTGCATCAACAACATTGGATAAAAATAAGTGTTGGCTGGAGCTACATAGTTGTCGATGTTCCACAGTTCCTGAAGCACCCATCTCGCACCTCTGTCGTTGCTTTTCTCACTCATGTCTTCGTTAATATTGATGCAAAATATACAAACAAGTTACTGCATATATTTATCTATAAGTTTCACATGACTGATTTTCATATTTTTCTGTGCTTGCTCACCCACTTTCTCTAGCTTGATCAATACTCATGTTGTAACAGAGCAGATTGGGAGAGAGAGTGAGGACAGAGAGAAATGCATGTATTCAAAGGCAGAACAGGAGAGAAAAAACAAATCGAAGAAAAATAACATGCAAAAAAATAACGCTTGTAAAGAGACAAATAACTTTGCCAACTAAAGTCGGAGACATCCAAGTGAAACAGATACACATTATTTTCATTGAACATTTTAATGCCAGAATGAATTGAAAACCGACCGACTCATATCTCTATCATATAAATCAATCTGCTAATTTCGAATTTTTCTTTTCAGCAATGAATGAAGTCAAAATTAAACAAACAATAGAATAATAATGAATCAATATGCTTCAATTAAAATGAGTTAAGCCTCCCCCTCCTCTCCCTCAGAAACGGGTTCCCACTTAAGATGGCCCTTTGGAGCTGAAATTTTTAGGGATGCGTGGTCCTGAAGTGATACGCTTCTTGTAAAAATTTCAGCTCGATTAGTTGTAAAAGACCGAATTTCCAGTTAATTCAGAGATCATTTTTGACCTTCAGGAGAATCGATACAAGTTCGCCGTAACACGAGATATAGAGCTCGGGGTGGTTTCAAATTAAAGCCAATATCAGTACGCAGCTTTTTATCAAACAGAAATTTTTAAATTCTCTATTATTCATTTTTTATGAATATTTTAGTTGACATGTCTTAAAAGAAGCATAACAAACTGTGACCCGACGACAGTCAATTCCACTTTTCGCAACCGAGAAATCGACTTTAAAAAACTGGTTGATGAAAAGTTTACTCTTGTTGAGACCTTTAAAACAAAAAAAAATATTGGTATGTGCTCGAAATAGGAGGGAGCAGTTACAATTTTTCTGATTGAAAACCATGTTCTGAGAAAAACGATAAACAAATTTAGAAATGAATTTTTTTATTCAAATTCAAAAAAACATTAAAATTGCATATTTTCAATATATTTTAGTGGACTTTTTTACAACATGTATTAGATGACGTAAGCTAACACCATCTATCATGCTGAAATAGTTTTGTTTTTCTCTTTTTCGGATGACTCATGTATTTTTATACCACAGTATTTTCTGGATACGATGATTTACATCGCTCTTTGGATAAATTAAAAAATCTGAAATTTTTTGGGCAGAGTTTAGTAAGACCCTACAACCGAATTATAATTAACATAACTCATGTTCTCTCAGCAACAAGGCATTGTTACTTCTTGTTTTCTAGTTTTTTTTAATTATTCCGCATTTATTTTGTCTGGAATGCCAGATCCTTCGACTTTGAAAAAGGAAAGAATCTTTCGGCTTGCTCAAAACAAATCCACATCGCGAAAAATCGTTAATAATGTTACAAAACAGATACGTAAACTACAAAATGATCTTATTTCTGACATAGATCCATCAATTGGTAATGAACATTTTACTAACAAAAAACGTCCATTTGTCGATCCATCATGCCAAAAATTATCAAATTTTCTTAAGCCCCCCCCCCCCCCCCCCCTCAGAAATGAATTCCCACTTAGGATGGGCCTTTTGAGCTGAAAATTTCAGGGATGAGTGATCCTGGAGAGATATGCTCCTGGTAAAAATTTCAGCCCGATTGGCCTTACTAGACCGAAGTTTCAGCTGAATCATAGGTCATTTTGGACCTTCAGGAGAATTGATATAACTTCCCCATAAAACGAGATATCGAGCTGGGGCTGGTCTCAAATTAAAGCTAATGTCAGTACGCAACTTTTGTCCGAACAGACATTTTAAATTCAATCTTATTGATTTTTTATGACCATTTTAGTGAAAGGGTCTAAAAATCAGCATAAAAAATGGTGATCCAACGACAGTAAATTCCACTTTTCTCATCACAGGAATCGACTTTAAGAAAACTGGTCAGACAAAAGTTTACTCTCATTGAGACCTTTAAAACAAAAAAAAATTATTGGATATAGCTCGAGCCGAACGAAGGTTATATCAATTTTCCTGATTGGAAACTATGTTCTGAAAAAACGTTAAAGAAGTTTTAGAAATGATTTTTTTATCCAAATGCAGGAAATAATGGTATATTGATAATATATATGTGTAATTTTTGAAAGCGCGCAATAGATGACGCAAGCTAGCACTACAGGTCATACTATATGATATAAGAATATTTATTCCATGCTGATAGAAGTACAAAAGTAGTCTTCCCAAAAATAACAAAAACCGCGAAAATCTCTCCGAAAACCAGGTAGTGAGGTGGAAATCTCCTACGAAAGTCTGTAAAAATTTGACCTTTTTTTAAAAATTTATATATATTCTGAAAGAGGAAACTTCGCTGCATCTTTCTATGATAAAAACTCGACTTCGATTACTTTACCAAAAAATGGATTTTCTAAAGGGGGGGGGGCCTTAAACAACAACAAAATACAGATATTGATGAAGATACAAATGATTATTATCAGATAATTCACAATTCGTGTTTGTTGGAATTAATGAAAGAAAGTATTTGTATCTCATGTAAGTCAATATGGAATGATGATATGTCTGTTGCAAAACGGGAAGATACTGTTTATGTTGTCTTCTCTCGCGTAACACTTAATAATTCATACTATGGGCTATTTAATTTCAGTCTGAATTTATCAAATAAAAATAATACTTGATTTCAAACTGAAACGTGAGTCTAGGAGTGAGGGGGGAGTGACTGAGGGTGTGGGTGTTGGTCTGGGACCCACACACACACCCACACCCATGGTGCGGGTGTGGGCGCGCGAGTGAGGGTGAGGGTGTGCTTGTGGCTTTGTGTACTATAGGCTTTAGTCCCCTGCACAAGGGACTAAGCGGGGACTAAGCTTTTTGTGGGGGGGACTAAGGGGAACTTTGCAGGACTAGGGGGGACTAAGGGTTTTTAGTGGGACTACGTAGTATCAAACGAGAAAAGTTTGATTCGGAAGAAGTTGGTGCGGTTTTTTTGATTTTAGAATTCAGTTTGAAATAAAAAAGCCCATAGACTCTAATAATTACATATATATTTTAGGACTATATTGTTCTCTAATGTTTACATGTCACTGCTCGAACGAAATTGAAATCAATACATCTAAACAATGTCCAAAAACCTCTAAACGAGGGATTAATATTCGAAGTGCAATTGGTAAGTTTATTCTTAGTAATATAGTACTGCACAAATTGATCTGATATGTAGGTGTAAATTTTGCCTGGATTGGTCATCAAGGTCTTCTAAAACTGTGTGCTGCTTTGAATGTATCACCTCCTATTGATGCTGATCATTTTTCTCGCACCATCACACATATTCTTCCAGTATTTGAATCACACAAGCTTAATTCAATGAAAAAAGCTATCGAAGAAGCATGCAGTGAATCAAATAAACGTAAACTTACACTTAGTGGTGATGGCACTTGGCAAAAACGCGGCTTTTCTAGTTTACATGGAGTTGTGGATGTGGATGTGGGCGTGGATGGGTATGCGTGTGCGTGGGTATGGGTGTGGGTAGGCGTGGGTGGGGTGTGGATGTGGGGTGTGGGTATGGGTGTGTGGGTGTGGGCGTGAGTGTTTATGAAATCCAGATCTACGCCCACACTCACGTGGACCCAGATGCGCACCTCCACACCCACACCCCACAACCACACCCGCACTCACCCACACTAGACATCGGCGTGACCAATGTTTTTTGGTCACGGTCACGTCACGGTCACGATCCGTTTCGTCACGGTTACGGTCACGGTCACGACCGTTGTCATCGTGACCGTGACCGTGAGTCACGGTAGCAACGCCAGTCTCTATACAAACGACTATTTTCTCTTTTCTCAAAATAGCATACCCTTATTTTCCAATAGGAGGTCCCTATACTAGAAGGCTTTCTATAATAGAGGATCCCCTTGGAGAAATATGTGCGAGACTTAGCATAAGACCTCATTCAATAATCGAATTTTTCGAAAAATGACAACTTCAACTACTGGATTTACACCATAATATGCTTAGTTTTCAGAGTTTTGAGCTGAAAACCTAAACTAAGTGTTTTCAACATTTTATCTAGGCTTTTAAAATCCGAAAAATTTCTTCTCAGAGCATCAAAATCGCCTTGGCTTTCTGAACAATCAATTTTACATGAAATCTGTAAAAACAAAAGAGACATAACACAAGATCCTCTGGAAAAGTTTTGCGATTGGACACAATAGAAAATCTCGGATCTTCTCGTGCGAAGAGGCGAAAGGTAATATAACGGATAAACGAAAAAGATTAGGTATGAACAAAATTGATGAATTTGTTTTTGAGAAAATCTCTTATAGTTCTTGAAAGTTTATTTGGCCAAAGCCTGAATAAAAATGAGTGAAATCAGAACAAGTAGAGAAATGATCAATCGTCGAATAACTCATCTGATAGAAGTAAAAAAAATAGTCGAAATTATATGAAAATTACAATTCTTGTTCAAGGAGGTCATAGTATTTTTTAGTGGTACATTTTTTTCTAAAGTCTTTCTATGCCAGCTGTTTAAAATATATTAATACTGACGAGGGAACATATCCAACTGATTCCGAGCTTTCGGCTTCATATTTTGGCTACAGATAGGCCTCAGTGAGACTAAGAAAATCCTAGAAGCGTTCGTCCCCATGGGCTGCTGGGCCAAAGTTATAGCCATTTTACTGAATTTTTAGCCTACGACACGGTATCCACAGTAAAGTTAAATGAAGGTATTTCGGTCTGATATTCTGCCCATAAACATGTCTAATGATTCCTATCATGTATCAAAATTTTCAATCAAAACGGATGCTTCCTTCTTGAGATATTCAATTTTCA